TTCGAATACGAGTTCGAATAAAATTTCTGACCAAGACACCTGAATATTTTTCGTTTAAAAAGCATTTCATCAACAATCCAGATTTTCGAGTTTTATGGGAGAATTAACTCTTGTTTCCACTCTTTTTTATACAAATACATTCTGAAAAAAATTACAAAAAAATGCAAAAATACAAATACAAAACAAAAGTACCAAAATAAAAAAATAAAAAAATACAAATACAAATACATCCAAATACATTTTACACATTCTAGCGGTATTGCATTAAGCTGGCACGAGTTCTGCTGCAGCATTTTCAAACCGTAATTTTGGTTTTATTCACCGATTTGTTCGCTTTTATTAGTGAAAGAGCGAGCCATGCTCTCCATAACCGTAAATCAGCTGCTTTCTGTCGAGTATACTTATCATAGATACAAGCGATAAAATAGAAATTCACATATTAGGTCATTCCGAAAGTTCTTTCCGTTTTCTCAACCTATCATAAAAACATGCGGAATAAAGGTAGGAAAAGGATCCAGGAACTATCCGACGCAGCTTTTCTTCCTCTTTCTAGCAGTCATACTCCCATGTCGCTTACCCTTGTGATCACTGAGATAATGGCCGAAATTTCGAACCCATGGTTTTTACCATGGCCAAATTTGGCAATTTTTCACAAACTTCTTTTTTGACTTTTGGGAAAGCTTTGATAACAATCAGATAGAGTAAACAAAGTGCAATTTGATGCAATTTTTCGGCATCTATAGCTAGCCTCAAAAATATTTTAGAACTATTTTTCTAACGCTACCAAATTTCACTTTTAGGTATGCCAAAAGCCATAGAACATAAGACGGCGCACAACTAAGGTGTCATTCGATGCAGATTTTCCTTCTCTTATCTAATGAATTTATTTTCTTTCCAATTTGTGGGGTCATTGGCGATAAAGTTTTTATAATTCTTGATTTGGAACCCGCCATCCTGCACACGTAAAATGCGAAACCTTATATTTCCCAGCGGTAAACGCTCAGTTGCTTTGTGAAAATTGTGGATAATCGTAACTGACTTTTGAAAGCTTCAAAATCCGTAGATTTGCCAGTGTTCGGGTCGTTTCTGTATTTTGGGACTTTGCAAAAGTGAAGACTTTTGGAAAAATTTTCCCAAAAAATACTGAAAAGCCAGCTGGATATGCCAAAAAATTGCATTGCATTGCGCTTTGTTTACTTTATCTGAATGTTATCAAAGCTTTCCCAAAGGTCAAAAAAGAAGATTGTGAAAAATTGCCAAAATTGGACATGGTAAAAACCATGGGTTCGAAATTTTGGCCATTATCTCAGTGATCACAAGGGTAAGCGATGTGGGAGTATGACAGCTAGAAAGAGGAAAAAAAGCTGCGTTGGAAAGTTCCTGAAGCCTTTTCCCACCTTCATTCCACTTGTTTTTATGAGAGGTTGGAAAAACGGAAAGAACTTTCGGAACGACCTAATATTTTGATTTCCACTTTGGTCGTGAAAAATCTGAAACTTGCAATAAAAATGAAGTCAATATTAAAGGTTTTACTACCTGTTTTTTTGCCGAAGTTTATGCCAGTTGAACGTCTTTATCAATATGAAGCAATCAAACAAAACAACAAATTTAATTCTGTTTACTTTCGATTCAAAAATCATACTCGGAATGACCTAATATGTGAATTTCTATTTTATCGCTTGTATCTATGATAAGTATACTCGACAGAAAGCAGCTGATTTACGGCAAAGCTCGGAGAAATCAAACTTTGAAAAAATCAAAGTCAAACCAAACGTTTTCTTCTATCGCTTCCTTTTATGCAATAGAAGGTAGAGAGCTGCTAAAATATTGTTATAAAAAACATGATTCACTTTTTCAATGGTCAGGAAAACTGGAAGACATGAATGTTTGGAAAAGATGCGGCAGAGCTTTTGGGCCAGCCTAGTGTAAGTAAATGTCTTATTCAAAAGGCAGAACATCATTTGAATCACCCCAAAGTATATATAGATGTTTTTTTAAAGATAATACACAAAATTCGGTATTATCTATTTCTTGAAACGCTCGAACGCACAGTAGAGCCAAACACCCGAAGTTATATATATATAAGCTCGACAGGCAAATGTAGGGTTTTCAATGAGCATCTGAAATTCTCACTTAGTTCAAACGAGACCTGAAGGGGGAACGGAACTTATTAGGGAGTCTCAGTGTCTCATAGTTTTTTACCGTTTGTACCCTAAACATCAGCATTTCTCGCAAACTGAGGCATTTCAATTTACGAGGGGTACAGATACACGGTTGTGTCTGTATGTATGAGCTACATCATCACGTACGTGGGAGGAGATCTAGGGACATCTAGGGGCGGAGTTTGCCATTTTACTTCATTCATTTTTTTTCATTTCTAGCCACGGAAAAATTCGGAAGTTGTACATCTCTCTCTCTCTCTCTCTCTCTCTATATATATATATATATATATATATATATATATATATATATATATATATATATATATATATATATATATATATATATATATATATATATATAACTCAAAAATTGTCCGTTTGGAGGGTATGTGAGCTATAGAAACGCACGCCGCTCAACCGATTAGGCTGAATCTTTGCATACAGAAGTTCTTGACCCCGAAGACGGTTTTAAGATATTTTTTACTAAAATTCGCTGGGTCCTTCTATCGATTTATTGATCTGCTTACGTTCTTCAAAGGAATTGAAGGCTTATCTTGTTCAACCAAGCATTTTCCCATGGTCATGTAAAGGAGAGCGGTGAAGCTCATTTTCACCTCAGGATCACGAGATGCGATTTAGAAGCGGATGCCCCAGGGTAAGTCATCTATAACATATAAAAGAGGGGGGGGGGGTCAGTGCAGTTGAACAATAGCCCGGGCTGGACCGGGAAAGCCAACTAGTTTGAACGTATGTGTCAAGCATATGCTAGGATAAACGGCGAATTTTTCAGATTTTTTAGGGCGGAGAGACGATTTTTGACAGTGAAGTTCGTTTTTGACGCTCTCAGATTTCAGCTCAAAACTTGTGGAATGCGATTCGGCCAGACTTTTGGCAGCCATCTTGTAAAGCTTGCTTTGCCCTATTGAATGATTACCTAAGTTATATCAGTTGAAAAAAAGATGCAGAAAGACGGCAGTTATAATAAAAACGGTAAAAAATTATGAGACACTCTAATAGGACACTCTAATACGGATAGGCCTCCGCCACGTACTTATTGTTAGCAGAATTTATGAGAGGTCATGAACTAGCAGCAGTTCTAATTTGAATTCACCCAGCACCGAGGAGAGCTGATTCTGTGCACGGTAACTTCGCCATCATTCTACACTTTGTGAAACCCGGGATACAGAAGTTTCGAATTTGGAAGTTCAGTAGTGTCCAATAAGGATAAAAATTTGTACTTGGAGGTATTTTGTCATGCTGTTTTTGATTATGATGGTGGTTTCGCTTGAAAGCTTGGGATTTGTTTTATTTTTGATTTAGAACTTGTTTTCACAAATTTTCCGTCAAAAAGCCTAAAAGTGTTATTCGAGAGTTTTCTATGACACTGTTTCCGATTACGTTGATGGTTTTGCTTGAAACTTCAAATTTTTCTTTCAAAATTCCAACTTCTTTAGAAATTCTTATGAAGTTTTGGTGAATTTAGTACGTAAGCGTTTTCTGCCAAGCTGTTCTCGAATGCGATAATGGTTCCGCCTGAAACCTTGGATTTTTTTTAAGAATAACCTTTTTCGCATCCCTGAAAATATTAAGATAGTGCTAATCTTTTTTGAATCGTATTTTCAATATGGTGGTTTTACTCAAATCCTTGAAAGATTTCGAAATATATGATAACTGAGGGACGGATATTTCAAAATTTAGCGGATTTGTGAGTTTGTCCTCGTTATCATTTCATCAAGCTTGCAGTGAAATGAAAGAGGCCAAACCATGTAATTTGCAGGTTGCAGCTGAAACCATTATCGTATTCGGAAACAGCATGGCAGAAAACCCGTGAATAATTATACCACATTTCAGCGACAATTTTTTGAAGAAGATGAGGTTTCGAAAGGAAATATCAAAGGTTTCGGCAAAACCATTAGCGTATTCAGTAACGCATCATAGAAAACCCTAACCATTCCTGAGCTTTTGCCGGGAAACTTGTGAAAACAAGTTCAAAATTCAAATAGAAGGAAATTCCTCAGTTTCAAGCAAACACTATCATTTTCGGAAACAGCATGACAAACTTCCAAATACGGATATTACCCCTACTGGACTAGATTCATCACTAAACTTCAAGTTCGAAATTTGAACTAAACCTTGGTCTATTATAGAGGAGGGCCCACAATGAAACGTGAAAATCGATCGAAGAAGAGTTTCGAAAAAAACTTGACATTAAGTATGTGTACCATTCTTCGTTAGGGCATTAGCTGTGCTCATTCAATGAAAATTTGGCACCAAAGGAGCTATATCCTCATTTTCAGATGATTGTGTGCCTTTGAAATGAGACAGAGAAAAGCAAAAAACTATTGAGAATAAACACTGGCAAAATCTTTCGTTTTTCGGAGAGTCACAATAAATTCATTGTTTTGGTAGTTCAAACTTATACTTTTTTGGTTGCAAGAAAAGAGAATTATTATGGGACGGTGGCAATATGGAACTCCATAAGCTCTAGAGAGAACAGAAGCATGATATTATAAAATCAGCAAATCTATAAAGCTTCATAGGCACGTGAAATCTTCCAAAGTTAAGAAAAATTTGCGCTTACTAATCAGAATTGTCTCAAGAAATCCGTTTTCCTCAGCGATGACCGAAGCAAATAACCTTAGTAAGCTACGATATAATGTAGTACACGGTTTTCCCTGTAGCACCATTAACGCAGAAGGGTTACGGCCCTTAATCTCACACCTCCAAACGTTTTGTAGTCACTTTCACACTTGATTTGTAATAAATATATACATGTATAAGTACGTTTACAAAATATAATTGCTTTTTGCTAGCTATTGGTTGCTTGTCAAAAAAATGTTATAAAATCGGTGGTCCGGGCCAGTACCAGTAGTTACTATCCCTATCACCCAAAAATTTGCCCTGAAGAATGTCGTTTTTTTTCTTTTACTCACTCTAAAATTGGTAAGCAGCAAGCGCCAGCGCTTTAAGAAATTAATTGAGCTGTTCCAGCAGCTAGGATTCGGTGTATCGTTAGGTACCCGCTGTTAAAGCAACCAAGGGGCGTGGCTTAGTGTGTACCACCAATTGCAGGGTACCTAACGCCCGCACCTCGGCTGGGTACCTAACGCCACGCACCCGTCTATAATGTGTAGAATGATGGCGGAATTACCGTGTGCAGAATCAGCTCTCCTCGATGTTAATTGGGTGCAAATTAGAATTGCTGCCAGTTTATGACCTTTCGTGAACTTTGCTAACTACGCGGCGGCGAGCCTATCCTGGTATGTAACTTTCCTCACCCGACCTGAAGCAGTGGTTTGAGAAATTGGAGCTTTTTTGGTACGGCTTTTTGTTGCCTCTACTTCTAATTCCAATGTGGCATATACAGTACACGATACTATTAGCTCTGTTTCAACAAAACACATATTTCAGATTCAGAATGGAAACTCCTTACTAATAATGCATTCAGCGCTTTACTATCAAACTTGCTTACCTGACAGGTTTCATTCTTCTTACCAGAACGGTGATAACTAGTGATGTAATTGACGTGCTCTTTTCCTATTTCGGGCCAACTTTTTGATGTTACTGGGTAGTAGCTGCTGAAGTTCAAACTTTTCATAAAACGAAATTAAGAATGACAAACTGGTCCGCACAACTCACACGAACGAGTAGAATGTACGAGCTAGAGGGAAAGGTTTCGACCACGAATAGTCCAAATATTTTACTACTGAAGCATCGTAGGTCTGGAAAAATTCCGTATAAATAGTAACAATAAACTGAGGGTATTTAGTGTAACAGTAAAAGTTACTCCAAAGTCTCGTGCAATTCAGATTTTTAATAGCTTGAATTTTTCACTTTAAAAGCACGCAATTTTCGCAAACCGCAACAAGATAGCTCTTTTTGTACAACTGCCAAGTTCTTGAAGAGTTCCTATATGTGCATGTTTGGATTAAATCCTATTTTTTATTCGCTTTTTTGGTCTGAATCTCCGAATTAGCGCTGCACAGCACTGCTGAAACGGCATTTATTGAGCCCTTTTTGATATCATCGATCAAAACCAACTCAAGGATTCTCATAGATCTATGATGGACAATGTGTTTTGAAATCAAAAAAAAACTTTTGCGGACTTATTTGTAGCGGACTTTCTACAAGATAATTGGGGTAGTTTAAACACTTCCAAATTTCCCGCGACCATCATTTCTACTGGAAACACAAGACTGCAAAAAATTTGGATTGATTTAAATTAAGCCATGCAGGTTTGAAGCAACATTTGGAGTTATGAAATATCGCTAACCAAATTTTTAGCCGCCATCTTGAAACCTGTGCAGTTCTCTTGGAAATACTTTTCGAAACTTTCCCGGAGAGCCTTTTCCTTTTCAGGATTGCTGCCGGGTTTGCTGGTCAGTTCGAAATTGGTGTAGAAATCAACAGCATGACCTGACGAAAGCAGGATCGACGAAAGCTGAATTGGTAATCATTTGTGCGATTTCGCAAAGAATGCAACTTACGATAAAGAGATTGTAAAGCGGCATTTTGTAGCAGAGTTGCTCACTCTTCAAACACTTATACATATACTGGCAAATATTGACGCAACAGAAGTTGTCAGATATAAGGTGAATGGGCTTTCGTGATTGTTCGGAATTCAATGGGAATGCGACACTCAAAGCGCGTTATGCGTAAGCGGTTAATACCGCTTGTATAGCGCACTACAGATTTGTTCATTGTACGAAAGTGCATTTTCAATGAATAAATGATGGTAGTACTGTGTGAACTTCCGATCACTGATCGTTCGCAGTTTTGAATAACTACAATGAATCAAAGGCTCTGTTGTCTTTGGAGCTGGGCATGTCGAGATTTAGTAGTTTAAAGTTTTGCCAACCACGCTTGTTAGTGGATGTTCATTCAATTGACGTTTCTGCGTATACTCGCGTTATACAGAGGTCTGAACTTAGCACATATTTTTTATCGTTAGATGTAGCCTAAATCGTTTAGAGTTTCCCGTTTCTTGCCATTCTGAACCTGATGTAAAGGTGGCAGCGTTCACAAAGGTTTTGAAACAATTCCAATCTAACCAAACCCATGCTAATTAGCAGTAAGGAAGTAAAAATAACGAACGTCAACGAAAGCCAATCAGTAAGTTAAGTGTAGCTGTAAACTTGTAAATTGATGCACACTGCAGTACATTATTGGTAGACAAACAATCTTTTTCGGCGTTCATTGTCTTGCGAAGTTCGCTCTTCTTCAAGAATCGTTTGTGCGCTAATTGTACCTACCCCTCACTTCAAAAATGTTTCGATCACACACATGCATACACATGGCACACGCACGGTACACACACGGCCCACAAAGTCACAACATCCTTGGCCCGCTATTGCAAGTAGTAAATACTTTTCGCATGGTTCCTTCGCAAACGAGAGCTCAGGTAGGGTTGAACCATTTTCATTACGCGCCAATCCTAGAATGCCGCCCGTTATTGTGACTAGCGACCCTACGGGTCGCTAGTAAGTGGGTTGGGGCAGATAGATTGAATAACTGTCGGGGTGCAACTAAGAATAGCAAGAGAATGAATTTCCATTTTTCGAACGATCTTTGGCGCAATGTAAGTAGTAGTAGAAGCAAGATCATGCTCTCAAGGGAACTTTTTAGAGCGAGTAACTACCAAATCATATACGCTGTTATTCTTGCAAATACCTTACCCCAGCTCTCAAAATGGAAATCGCCCAAGAAGTCATCTATGTAGAACAGCTGATTGAACCCGAAATTCAGGCCGACTTCAGGAATGTGCGACGGCCGCAAATACACCGACCATCGCGATCATGTGCAATCCTATACTCTCCTATAATATCTCGCGAAGTCATTTCTTGAAGCTAGACCAAAGCTCGCTCAAAACTTTCTCCTGGACAATCTTAGCAAATATGTCCTGCCGCATGAAGCTCTGGGTCTTCCTTTTCCTGAGATTGCTTCCCTTTTTCTGCTTTTAGGTGCAGAAGTACGATTTTATCAAAGTATGAGCTGCCGAAAGTGATATCAAGCGAGCTTTTGTATAAATTAGGATTAAACCTAAGAAATTCTTAGCAGAAATCCGTTTGAAGCACTTGGAACTTTCTTTTCTTCGCGACCAAGCTCTCTTTGCTTTTTTGTCAAAAGAAGCAGAAGTATGATTTTTGCGAAGTAAAAGCAGCCAAAATGGTTTCAAGCAATTTTTTTTATTTAAGTTAGCATTGATCTTGCCACGTAAGCCCTTGGGATCTTCCTTCTCTCAAGACCAAATTTGCTCTGCTTCTTTATTATAGGAGACAGAGGTATGATTTCTGCGAAGTATTATATTGTAAAGAAAGAGTCCGGGCACTTCCGAGAATTTCTTTTTATAATGCATTTTTTTGCCGCTCCGTCGGACTTTGATGCCAAGTTTTCTATACTGTTCGAAACCGCTTCCAATTTTCATCGGCGCCAAAACGTGCATCACATCAATCTTTTTTACTATAAAAATTTCACGATTTTTCTTTCTGCGGCCATTTTTTGGTGCAGCTCATAGGTTTTCGTCCAAATCGTGTGTGATGCAATTCCAATCGAGGGACTGTTAGTTTCTGACCCGCAGCTGCACTCGAGTTTTGCGATCTGCGGTCAGAAAGTACAAGCTGTCAAACTTGCCTCTGACTGCAACTATTTTCGCAGCATCGCTTTTGCGAGGATCGCCACTTGGATGATAGGTCCTAAAGATGTATAAGGCATTACGCCAACAATCCTCGCAGTAATCAAAGATTTGGTTCGTCTTGTGCAGAACAAGAAGAAAGACTTCAAAATCGCTTACTCGAAAAATAGTGCATTTTTGGGGCAAAAAATGGTCGATTTCTTAAACTTCTTGGAAAAAACTATCTTGCAGTTAGTCGCTCAAAGGCGTAAATAGTCTCATCATAGCTCCAGCAAACTTCTGTATAACTACAGCATATGAGCTGTCCGGCTCTCATCACGCCTGAGATATTTTGCGCAAATAGACCACTTACGCGTCAATTTTTCTCCCTTCTGCGCATGCTGGTAGAACGCAGTGAGGTGCTGAAAAGCTAGCAAGATAAATTTATGTTGTAGACGAAATTGTTTTTGCAACGAAGTTTGTAGCTTCAAAGAAGAATCAATCTTTTTAAAGTTACAGCGATTTAGAAAAAAATTTTCGCAAGTGCCCAGGAACTTTTCTTACGATCTAATAAAAGCGGTCAAAAGTGAATTTCAAACGAGCTTTTGTATAATTTAGCATTGAAACTGAGAAATTCTTAGCAGAAATGTTTGCCGCTTGAAGCTCTTGGAACCTTTCTTTGAGACCGCTGCCTTTGCTTCTTTGCTATAGGAGGCAGGGGTATGATTTCTGTGAAGTAAAAGCGGTCAAAAATGGACTTCAAGCGAGCTTTTGTATAATCTCTATATACAGTGCTGGCCAAAACTATAATTCCACCCTGAAAACTGCCGTAACTCATCTGCTTTTCAACGAATTGATCTGAAATTTGCTACAGTTGTGTGTTTAACAGGCTATCATCAATAACCAAAACGGATCCCGTTTTCGTTCGAGTATCAGGAAAAAATCAAAAATTTTGAAAAAAGCAGGCTTGGAGGTTGACCAAAACTATAATTCCACCTAAGGTTTCTGTCCACTAAAGTCATTCTCGGCTTCGAAAGTATTTTGTGCATATTCATAAGCAGAAGTCAAAACAGTCCTTTGGTTCAGCTGTGCCATATTTTTATAAGAAACGTTTATCTGCTTTTTTTTCGCTTAAAAATACTTTCATGCGTATTTCGTTCCCAAAAATGTGTTTTTATGGGTAATTTCGCAGTTTTTTGACTGGTTCGGAAGCGATATGGCTCCACCTATCTTATAGATGCTTAGCGAAGTGAGAACTAGAAAAAAAATTGGAGTTTTCATATTTAAAGCGCACCCGACATAGACCTTACAGCAAGCCTGCCCTTAAATTTTTGCCTCCAAAATTGGTTTATGTTGTTTTTGTAAGCTCAAAATGATGTAAAGCATCGTTTACATAAAAAGAAATTCGTACACTGTACTTGCGATTGTTGGCCAAGTCACATTTTGCTTTGTTTTCAAAGCATAAATCTTCGCGGTTCAATGATAATATTTAGGCAATCTCAAAATACTTACCAAGTGGTACTTTTCCTGATTTTTTGCCACTATTTAGCTTCTAGATAGTGAAAACACCCTGCATTGTGTGATGCCTTGTGACTCACATGAGCATTACGATCAGAACCAAGAATAAGTTTAAGGCTTTTTGCAAATTAGTTTTTGCATGATGAATTCCTCAATTAGCCTGCATGCTAAGGCCTGCGGAAATCTGCAACCACTGCATTCGGACTCTCAAACGTACAAACAATGTTATTACTCTACTTCACGCTCATAAGAACATTGCAGAAGGAGTTTGTGGCAGGGCCCGGCACGGGGTGGGCAGACGGGGTTTTCCAAAGCGAATTCCCCTTTGACCCCAGTGGTTTTTATGAATACTCCCTTGAGTCCAAAAATGACGCTTTGTGCCTGTGGAACAAGAGCCCGACCACACTTCGCCTAAGAGCGCTCGAAAGCGCCCAAATGCTCAACCTCTAATTACTCCTCACCTGTATCAAGATAGACAACGGGAAGAAGAATAACCAAGGAAAATGATGAAGGAATGAAAAAATATCAAAGGAACGCAGTCATAGGACTGAGAGACGCCGTTCCCGCGCGTATCGATTGACTGGGGCGCTCTTTCCATCTTATAAGGGAAGGATACCAACATTAGTTGGCAACTGAAGATGAGATGTATATCATTGGATGCGCCTTTGAACGCTGATTCCAAATCTGCTTTCCTTTTTTGCGTATGTTTCCGAAAGAAGTTACGAGCTTTTGAATGTCCAGAATTGCGACGCATTGAGTGGCTTATAATCAGCGCAAAGCTCTAAAACAACACCTATGCGAATTTCACCGGCTTTGTTCCTTCCTTGCAAACAATATACTCGATACAAAAATGATTTTCTACTTTCTGGTGTTTTTGCGCAGCTTTCCGCCAATTTTAGGCCACCTAAATCTTTACAAGTTTGAACTTTTGAACGCCCACAACTTCTTTTGGAAACTTGTTCCGCAAAAAAGGAAAGCAGATTTGAAATCAGCATTCAAAGGCACGTCTAATGATACACATCTCATCTACAATCGCCGACTAATGTTGGTATCCTTCCCTTGTTAGAAAGCTAGGCTGCTGATGCGATTTTGGGCTCTAACAAAGACAAGAGGAGGAGTTTCTTGACCAAAATCTCACCATATAGTAAACTTTAGGTGAACAACAGATTTCTGTAAAAATTTTGAAAAAATTATGTGAATTGAAAGTTTTGCCTACCTCAGGTGGGCATTAGGTGGGCAATTGCCAAATTGCAATTGCTTACTTTTCCAGTTGCCGATTGGAAAAAAGTAAGCACGCTCTTCATTCACATAAGTTTTTCATAATTTTTCATACGTTGTTCCTTAGTCCTATTGCGCGTATACACACCAAGTCTCGCGCGATTTCGTTTTCTCTGCGCTGCAAACGAGCCATTTTTCCATTTT